GGGATAGTATTTTAAAAGTTAAAACGTGAGAATCCTATAAACCCTCATTACCCAACAGATTAACAGCTGGCGCCATTGGGAGGATCTGGCATTCTCCTTGATGAGGTTCTATCGGTACAACCAGCACAAGATGTTTGCCCAGGGACGAGCAGCAGGCGTTTTAAATGAGTCAGGTGTGCAGAATATGGTTTTATATAAATCTGCTGGGTTTTTTAGATGTTCTTTTCGCTTTTTAATTATTATGAAATTCTCCTTTCTGTGTTTTGAGAGAAAAAGCGAGAACAATTTAAAAACTTGGAATCCTCATGGAGTTGTACTTAATTCCTTCAGGCAACACAACAGTGTGAGAGTGAGGATTTTCAACAGTGAAGAGAGTGAAAAGTGCAGGTCAAGCCTTCCCTTTCCTCCCATCAGCTGGTAAGGTAAATGCCCATTACTATGTTTTGGCAATATTGTATACTAAAATGTATTTTCTGTGGCTCAGAAGAGCAGTCTTCTACTGGAGCAAGGTACTGATTCCCTAATTGCTCCTGATGCAATAGCCAGCAGTGTGTCAAGTTGTCAACGTGTACATATTTCTCCTGATAAGCAGGGAGCACCTTGTATGGCATGCAGCCTTTGCCTCAGAGTTGGTGACTTTTGTTGTAAAGCGCTTTGAGTTATCACAATGACTAGAGAAGCGTTAATGAAGTCCATTTTCTATTTAAATAGTAGGAATATAGTAAAAAGGCAAAAACTAAGTATATATGCACCAATGTCAAATTGTATATCCAGTGCAATGTCGATGTTTAAAGGAACATTTCTGCCGATAACAATGCCTATGTTTCGCTATATATGTTTACACTGCGGTCAGTGTCCCTTGTAAAATTGCATTGTTGATATTTAATTGTTCAAGGCTGTGACCGTGTGTTAGCCACAGAAAGACGACTTCTTGGGTCCCTGTTAACTGACACTCTGCAGACTCAATGAGCAGTTTAGACAAAGTTGAGAAGTTGTGAACATTTCCGCCAGCAAAGGGAGCAGAAGTCAAAACACTCTCTGAACTTTGGATATTAGACATTTAACCAATCCTAAAGACACTCACTACACAAGGTGGAAATCCCGCAGCATGCACTACCCTCAGGAGCAGCCCCTAACTCAGAGGACAGGAGGTATGTAGATACAGCAGATCGCCTCAGTCAGTGTTCCAATCCTTTAAAATGAAGGATGGACTTCAGATTTTGTCTGTCATAAATCCAAAAAGTCATGCTGACGCAACCTCTTCCAGTCAGCGAGCAAAACATAAACAAACAAACAAGGGCTAAAACATGGGCCGATGCCAACGTCTGGCCGATGTGTCTGTGCATCCCGAGCTAAAAGCCATCTTTGAAGTGGGTAAGTCTCCAGTCTGATATCAAGCCTACAGCTGATAGGTAGGTAATATGTGGCGGACTATAAAAAATGAAGGTGTCAACCAAGATTTAGGAGTGAATGGAAGCAGGAGTTTAAGTGGCTAGAATATGACACACATGGAAATACAGCCATGCTCACTCAGCGTTTGTCTTTGCCCATCTGTGACACAATAGCATTCAGTGTTGATAGGCTATTACTTGTGATGTGTAACCTATCAGATAGTGCTGAGACTTGACTGAGACTACAGAAACAGATCTAAGCTAAAGTAGCACATTTTATTTTATGTTTTTATTCACAGGTAATCATATACAAATAATTCAGAGATGTATTAAAATGCTTTGTCTTTAATGTAGGCTGTAGGTCTTGTTCAGAATACAAATATTGAAAATGAACATGCTGAATACAGCAGATAATCAGCCGTCATTTTAAAGTCTGAGAATTATGAATACTTACTATAGGGTCAAACTTTGAAGAACCTTCACACCTTTTAGTTTTAATTGTTTCTCTAGATAATTTCCTGTCTTTGTATATCTCCACCTCTTATTTCAAAAGAGAGTGACTGCAATGGTCACAGACCATGAAACAGATAATCTTTTGAACTTATCCACATCTTCCCAAATGGAATTGGATTTTAAAGTCAAGCTCAAGCTGATAAACTTCATGATGCCTTTCATTCCAGGTGAAAGCCCTGTGTTTGAATTCAATGCACATTTAATTAAAGCATGTAGCTTTGAATTACCTTGCTAATTAATTTAATAAGTGAAAATAGAATCAGAGTGATACATTATTGAGGTGGCAATGTTTCTGCGGCAGCTCACTGTGACTGACTTCACTGCTGTGTACAGACCTTTTTGTAAAACTGTAACGGGCTGTCCCACAAAACTAGAACACTTTCATATGCTGAGAACAGAAACACACACAAAACATAAGTGGAAAAACATCCTTCGAGGCGTTGCAGAGAGAAGCTGGGTGTCTCAATGAACTTGTAAAGCAACAAAAGCATTTTCACGACCATCACGAGAAGATAATCGGGAACAGCTATCTCAAATTAAAAATGACTTTAAATGTAAATTAATTATGCATCAACAATGCTAAATATGATAGAAAGATTACATGCAGACGTGGCAGAATAAAAGATGAGGGAAGATTGGGAAATGTTTGCCTATTGTATCTGGTCGGTGGCTATGAAGCGGAACATCAATGTCAATTTGGAAAAATAAAAGTTGTCTTTGCTTCTGCAGAAAAGAGGAGTCACCTTGAAATTCAGTTGAGGGAACTTCAGAGGATGCTGCTTGAAGCTCAGGCTCAGCAGATAATTACCGATTTCCTGTCTGAAACACGCAACCTCCTTTTTTTGAGTGGGTGGGGGTGGGCCGTTGTTTTTTTTATAGCTTTCTCTAATTAATCACACCTAAAACTTCAACATCAACATCCTGCACATTTCCTCCCTCTGGTAAACATCCATCTCTGATTAAGCATCAGAGTATTAAACATCAAGCAGCAACATCGCTGACATTAGAGCCTATAGTGCTGTTCACAGCATATTTCAGGTTTAGAGTTAATCACCTCACAAACACACGTCTCTTCTCCCTGACACTTTCAGACAGGATTAACTGGCTGGTTGTGTGTGCTTTAATTAATGCAGATTTATCTCAGTCATACAGTAGCAGTCTAAGATAATTGTCTTGTGGTTATCACAAGCTTCGGGTGCTTGTCCTTCATCTCATTGTTTGAGATGCCTACTGCAGATCATCCGTTTCACAGAAAATAACTCGGCATTTACCACCAAACAATAATATAGTTACATATAGAACACTTAGATTGGCATGGCCTGAGTTTGTAACCGACTGTGACTGCTATGGTGTGAACACTCACAGTGTTGGTCAGTGTGTGTACCAGTGTGTTTGTATGCAAACAGATTTTGAGTGCAAGAAACAATCATGAAACTTCACAGTTTTGTTGTTCAAATTAAGATCAAGGCGTAGTTTAAAGATTGCTGTGGTCTAAGTATTGGTGCCGGTGGTGGTGGGGTTATAAGAGAGGAACAGGCCAGCTTAAATTAAAAGATGAAATGTATGGCTTGTTGTTGAAGTTAAAATGTTTACTAAAACTTCACCAGACAAAGCAGTGACAGTTGAATGAGGCTGTAACAATATCAACTTTTATGAAGTCAATAGTGTTGATATTTAAAATAAATTCAAATAAAACATGACTCAATGGCAGATATAAATGGGAATTGAGCGTACCTGGGTGTTGTACATCCCAGAAAACAGCAGTATTTTCTGTATTAATGAGCATTTTACGTTAAGAATGTATGATGTTGTGTTTCGCTGACCTGATAAAACAATTGTGTTTATATATATATATATATATGGTCTAAATCTTCTGTACAAAAAGCCAGCAAACTGTTCTCTGTGAGGAATAAATATGTAGTTTAAAAACCGACAAATTAGAGGTATTTGATCTCTTCTTTACAACTGGATCATCAAACAAAATAGGAAATCCAATAAGTATGCTAGATAGGAGTGAACACACTGTAGAGGGAGATGTATGTTCAGACGGAGCTTGTTGTGTTTGCCTTTGTTCACTCACTATTTATTTCCACATCATTTAATTATACCTCAGCAAGCCAAGTGCTACATGCCATCAATCTCAATCAATCAATTAGCTAACTAAACAAGCCATGCTCAGACATTCGTTCTCTCTCAATTTCCCCATTGTGCTAATTACATTTAAACATGTCATTCCAAATTAAAACTGAACATTTAAATGTGATTAGTATTATTTAACTGAAACATCACCTTTTCACGTTCATGCATTCAGGATGCACCGACAGCTGGTTCAGATGAGCAGCAAACGCCTTCTTACCGCTTTTAATCAGCGTTTTCAAGAGTTTAACCTCTAAAAGATTACAAAATACAGAGAAAATCACATTATTTGTCATGTTCGAAAATGCAATAGGCAGGTATTTAAAGACCCTTGGGGAAGCATTATATTTCAATGATTGTACGAGTAGACGGACAAGCGCCTGATTTCTAAGGTTAAACTATTCCCATTAAAGTTTGAATAATTTTATTGACCTTTCCCCGGGATGAATCACTTAAAGTAATGGGAAATGGTGGCACTGACGGAATTATGATGACAGAAATGCTTATGGTTATGAACTAAGCCTTGCTCCTCGATATACCTATCAATTTGTCAAATCACTAGCATCTACGTGTTCAGCTGGAAATCTTAACAGGGGCCCCTGAGCCTATCGTGTCAGTCATTGTGTCATTTAAAACGTTTCTCCCCTCCATCTGTACCACAGTGCATGTGTCAGACTCTGATGGGAGTTCAGATTGCTGCTGTTGTACATTAAATATAAGTCGGTACAGAATGTTTGCCTCTGCTTGAGATCTTCCTCTTTGGGAGTTTGACAAGTATCAGCAGCTCAAGGTGAAGTGAACAGGTTTAATCCAGCTAATGTATTCAGGACGTTAAAACAGGGAGAGAGTGAATTTCACAACAAATACCAGTTAATAAATGCTGATGCTTGCATCTCCGAGCAACACGGGACTACAAAGTGAAAATGCACGTTTTTGATCAATTCACAACAACACCGCACATTTAAACATTGATATCTTTTATTAAGACAAGTACTCCTCGGATTTTTTTTTTCTTTTGTAAAAATGTTGGTGTGAACCAATACAAAATATGCATGGTCGTATGAGAAACATCCTCTTCACTACACAAAGGAAAAAAATGAGAGAAATGTAGGATTTAACAAGAAAAACAACAATTTTTGGGTGTAATAAAACAACCAACAACCCCCACCCCCCCACACACTCCCCTCCCCAGTCAGGGCCTTAAACATGAGTTTAATCCAAATATCCAAGACATGTTACAGATCATTCATCTAACGTAATGTCACAGTAAATACACCATCTTTTCATCTATCAAAATGATGCCTGAACTGAATGAATACAAACAGATGCTTGATTGACTGTCTGTGGTCACACCCTATAATGACTAAATAACCAATACTGTATGAGCAAAGTGTTAAGGTGGAAGAAGAAGAAGTTTCATGAACATCGTTGTGATTTTGTTGACACTGACTGTACATCATTTTCGGCTGCTTAACAAATCTAGGTTTATTTCTTTGTGAACTAGGTCTATGCAAAATAATATTTAACGTTTACTGTAACAGTGCACCATATTAAGAAGACAAACATGTAGAAATGGGAATAAACATGTACATCTTGTGATTTCGTCACTGTTTGAATAGCTGTGGTACTACAGTATATACTGGGAGGGCCTTTAATTTGCATTCTACCTGAGATGCAAAAACACAAAACACAACTATTAACACTCATGAACCTGAGAGAGTGAAAACAAACATTCTAGATATCAAATATTTAAAACAAATAAAACATTGGATTAAAATGATTTCGACAATATTTTTTATGTTCCTTGATTTAAAATAAGTCACTTCAAAACCATTTAAGATAAATATCAACCCTCAAATTAAAATGTCATGCACATAGCTGTTTCCATGACACCAAAACTCCATTAAAATCTTGAAAAATGAACTTTTATTGTAGCTTATTATAGCTTTTTGTAACATATTCCTGTCTGACATTAATAGCAAGCTGTGTCCTTGAAGATATCCAAATAAATAACAAGTGAAGTTGAGCAGAGTAAATAATTATGACCAAATTGAATTTGTTTTGCGATCACTCATTAAGAAAATAAATACTACACCCTGGCTTACGACATTGTAGTTAGTGGAAGCTGCCACACCACCCTGATAAACAAAGAAATATTTTTTTTTTTAACTCATTTTAGCTTTTTTATGCTCCAGGCGGTAATTGTGATGCAAGTCTGGTTGAATACATACAACCTGGATGAGAATTGGCCCTGTAAGTTAGAAAGGAGATAACTATACAATATATACTGTAAGAGTGTACATGAGGATACTGTGAGATACTAACCATATGCCTCAAAATAATAGAAGGCACTAAATAAAGTCCTTCAGTCATTTCTTTTAATGAGTATCAAGAGATAGCTTTAAGGCAGTGGTTATCCTTTTTCACAATACATTTACAGTTTTCTTTTTTTGTCTTATTCAGGTAACACAATGAAATCCCTTTCTAATTACCAAACAGGCTTCTAGCTGTGACAGACTCGGAGGCATGAAGCTTGCACGGTGTGCACACTGCGTATCTGTGAGCAAGTGCAGGATCTTCTGATTTGTGTTAGTGGGGGAAACAAATACATTTGTGACAGTAGATGGCTCCTTTGTAAAGGTTTGAGGCTGCAGGATGACAGTAAGAAAAGGATCTTTCCGCAAACCAAGTCTAAAGCTCAACGCAAATCTTTGATAACTTGTGAGGCCCTCAGTCCTTACAAGTTATCAAAGCCCCAAGGTAAAATGTCTTTGCAGACAGAAAGGAAATATAACTGATTCACATGTTCAATTACTTTTTACACTTGTGTATGGGCAAGGGCAAAACAGTGTATTGTGTGGCAAGGATTTCTAAGCCAGGAATTAAGTGAAAATATTTGTTTTTCTTCAGGTATTCACAGGGACATACAGTTACTCTCACTGAAAGGAAACTTTGTTATTGAAAGTGTAACAATTCCTCTTTGTTTGAACAGTATTATCAAATTTAAATATAAAACTTAAACAAATAAAATAAACCATTGCCCTGGAAATGTATCCAATTAAATGGTTAATATACTGTATCATTTTCTTTTTTAAATCAAATATTTAGAGAGGAGCTCTCTGCACAGTGGACGTTTAGCCTTTGCCTCATACAAGTGATATTCACTGTTTGTATGCACACTCGCATTATTATTATATTTGGTCCGGGGTCGACCGTGTGGGTGGTATGGAAATATGAAGAATTTCAATTTCAAACCAAAAGCACGCACAGCAGGCTGTACCAATATCCAGCAATAATACATGTTAATTAGATTTCATTATCTATGCAGCAGGAATCGTCACTCTTTGAGGTACTGCAGAGTTTATGTGTACATACTAAAAGTAAAGTCTGACCTTAAAATGCATTTCATTCTTGGCTCTGTACTTATTAGCCACTTTTTTTTACCATGTTTTAAGTCCAATCCGACAAAAATAATTACAAACAAAGATATTCTGAAAGCGATCACATGCTTTTGAAGAGTAGTTTGACATTTTGGGAAATACATGTATTTGTTCTCTCCTATACTTGCAAAGATCAAAACCATTGAAACCATGTCGGCAGAATGAACATGAGCCGACTGTTCGCTTAGCTTAGCACAAAGGCTGGAAACAGAAACAGCTAGCCTGACACTGGCCAAATGTAACTAATCCGCCTCTAAAGCTCATGTATCAACTTGTTTGTTAAACCGTTACAAAAAACAAAGTGTGGGAATGACAGCTTGGGTGTTTGTTGTCTTTTTTTTATACTTATTGACAGAACGGTTTCTTCCTGTTTTCAGTCTTAATGCTTGGCCAAGCTAACTGGCTGCTTGTTGTTAGCTTGCATGTAGCTAATAGACACGATGGAGGAATCCATTTTACTCAAGCCAATAATGCAAAAAAGCACAATTTCTCAAATGTCCAACTACGCCATTCATGTTTTTTCTGACCCCATTTTTCAGCTCTTGACTCCAAAAACAAAGAAAGCAGATGACAGTTCATGTTATATGTTGTTAAATATGTTGGTTCTGATTTTTCTCTATAGAAATTTGAACTCTAGTTCATGGCACATTACAGCATTCAAGATGTCTTACTGTCTAACTCCACAATACCCTAAACAATACTAAACTGACCTCACATCTATTTCAGATGTTGTCTTGAAACCAGCGAGGGGCCAGTTGTACACTGCGGTTTGGTGTGAAATGATACTAAACGGCACTGCTACTTCACTTTCAAGAACAAATACATTCTAAGATGAGCATGATTACTCACAACTGTTACATTAGTAATCAACACAGTGAACCTGACCTCAAAGGGGAGTCAATAAAATATGCACTTAAGTATGTCAAAACAAGTATGGTAGGAATTTGCAAGGACTGTTGAACTTTGACCCAGCAGGGAGGACAGTATTGACACTGAAGTCTTGAGATTACTCAAACAAATAATAATAAAAGTGTCTGTGAGCTGGCTCCTCTGATCTGGGTACATGAGCTAAAAGCAGAACACAAATACCAGGACTATTTACTCTCCAAAACCCAAATGTATCAAAGGATTAGGTTAGGTATAATGACAACAATACAATCCAAAGAAAAATGTGAAGGGGGGGGGGGGGGGGGAACAATAAAAAAAAAGAAAAGAAAAGAAATAGAACAAGGCACAAAATTGTCTGTAAAATAATTGAACTGTACAGAATAGGCCCCAGCAGTCCAGGAAGGGTCGGATAGGAGATTCAGCAAAGCCTCTTCTTACCACTTGGCCATGCCAGTCCTACTTTCCACGTTTTCTTTTCTTCCTCTTTAAATCTCACACTCCCTGCCTCAAGCCTTCTTGTAAGAAATCAGAGTTAGACTCTCAAAGCACCTCCACCACCACCAGCACCCCCACCCGTCTCTCCTGGCCTGCTCGATTTAGATATAGTACTCCTTCTTCTCGTCTGAGTTGTTGTGTCCACCCTCCGCGTTGATGATGGCCGTGTCTGCGTCGGCTGCGTCGTCCGCCCCTTTGGCCTCATGTGTGAAGTAAGTTCCTGGGAAAAGTACAGACGAATTAGCAACAAATCTCTTCCTCCACTTGTGCTCCTCAATCCTATTGCATTCCACTTGCAACCAACAAACACTTAACTCTAAGATGTGTTCATGATCAAGTACGATTGCGCCGCCAATGCCTTACCTTTGTGTCTGGCAAAGTATCGACCAAGAACAATGAGTGCACAGAGGATGGCAAACATCACCACGGCAACCACTCCGCCGATGACAGCATGGTCAATTTTCTGCGGTGCCCCATCGCTGGCTCTGGAGTCTGAAAAACAAGACAATAACTGTAAATAATTTCACCAGCAGTAACCCATTTTTAGCCAGTCAATAATATTTGTACGCAGATGTGGATCCCATTGGAAACTGTGGCGATCAAATAATCAGGCAGCCGAAATCTACATAATAGTATTTACTAGTTTTCTTCTTTCTCTAGCATTAACCAATCTTGAAATTGAGAAAATACTACATATTCTTTGCACCTGTCATTGTTTAAGAAAAGTGCTGATGTTGTTTCCGTACAAAAAATGCGATGTTTATGTTTGTTTATGTTTATTAAGGATCCCCATTAGCTTTTGCTCTCGACAAAAGCTACTCTTCCTGGGGTCCGACACTTAAAACAATACAACAATAATACAGCAACATTTAGGACATAAGTCCTGACATCATTAACAACATTAAAAACATCACCAATATCATCAACAACATGCGATCAAATTCAATTAAGTTAGGGTTCACAGCTCACAAGGGTACATGGTCATTAGTAGATGGCCCTTCAATCTCTTCTTGAAAGAGGCTCTGGACTCTATTTCAGCAAGGTAGTTTGGCAATGAGTTCCATTCCATTATAGCTCTATAAGACACAGAAGATTTCAGAAGATGTGTCCTGGGTTTAGGTGCCCGTAGATGGCCTGATGTAGCTTGTCTAGTCTTAAGGTCATGCTCGTCTCTTGTGTAAACTATTTGATCATAAAAATACAGTGGTTTTTTGCTAAATTACATTTTTTTTAAAAAGTGATAACACGAGATTGCAGACATTTCTCAACTGGAAGCCATGATAGGCTTCTATGCATAACTCCAATATGAGTGCGCTTCGAACAGTGGAGAGCTAGTCTGGCAGCCTTGTTTTGAGCTATTTGTAATTTCTGTAAATGTGTTTTTGCTGCTGATGACCATATGACCGGACAGTACTCAAGATGTGACAAAACCAGAGACTGAATGACTTGTTTCAAAGTGGTTGGTGTTACATACTTTGTACATTTTCTCGCCACAGTATGCTCCTTCCCATTTTAGTTACGATACTGTCAATTTGCTTTGTCCACCGTAAACCAGAATCAAGAACAATGCCAAGCAACTTAGTCTCGTTTACCTGTTCCACCGGCTGACCAGCCAGTGTCACGCTTCATTGAGGATTGCTGCTTAACATATGTCTGGATCCGAACACCATTGCTTTTGTTTTTGCAATGTTGAGTACCAGTTTGTTATTGTTGACCCAGTCTGCTATGGCTTTAATCTCTATTTTAAGTAGATTAAAGTAGTTTAACTCACTGCATGTTGATGCTGTACTGTACATTGTGGAATTATCAGCATACATTATTACACTGGACTTATTTAATACGTAAGGAAGGTCATTTGTGAATATAGAGTACAACAAAGGCCCAAGCGAACTCCCCTGTGGGACCCCACACTGCAACACCTTACTTTCAGAAAAGCTCCCATTGAAAAAGACTCGCTGCCTTCTCCTAGTCAGGTAGCTCTCCATCCAACACATAGCAACAGAATCTAAGCCATAGCATTTGAGTTTGTTCAGCAGCAGACTATGATCGATTACATCGAAAGCTGCGCTAAAGTCTAACATGACAGCTCCTACAAGCCTCCTATCATCCATGCTCTTTAACCAGTCGTCGGTCATTTGTGCAAGTGCTGTACTTGTAGAGTGACCATCTCTATAGGCATGTTGGTAGTTCGTTGTCAGATTGTTACTTGAAAAGTAGGATTGAATTTGGGTATATACTATTTTTTCTATTAATTGACTTAACACTGGGAGGAGACTTATAGGTCGACTATTGGAACCAGCAAAGGATTTTCTTTTATCCTTGGGTAATGGGATGACCTTGGCTTCCTTCCAGATCTCGGGGCACACGCCTTGCTCTAATCTTTTATTAAAAATGTGACTCAATGGCTTGGATATGTATTTGGCCGTCATTTTGAGCAGTTTACCATCCAAGTTGTCAATCCCAGGAGATTTATCATCGGACAGATGTAAAAGCATATTTTCAACATATTCTTCTGTAACATTGTGGAATTTAAACATGCACTGCTTTTCCCTCATGATACAATCTTTAATGATGTGATGTGACACTGTGTCCTTGACTGCACCCATGGCATTCCTCAGCTTATCTACTTTATTTGTAAAATAATCATTAAAATGATTTGCAATATCTGCTGGCTTGGTAATGAATGTACCCTCGGTTTCTATAAAGGAGGGATGCATGATTGAGTTCCTCCCCATTATGTTATTCAATATTTTCCATCATTTCTTTCCATCATTCGTAGAATCACTGATTTCCTGCATGTAGTATTCCCTCTTTCTACATTTATTCAATTTGGTTACCGCATTTCTTAGTTTACAGTAATGTTGTTTGTCACATAGAGAACCTGTTCTGTCTGCAGTTTTTTTAGCATCATCTCGTTGGACCATTAAACTTCTCATCTCATCATTCAACCAAGGTGCACACTTTGACCGGGCAGACCATTTTCTCATAGGAACATGCTGATCGGTGATACCATGGTACATGTGGGTCCGTGGAGGAAGGTACATTTTTCACAATGTGTAACTGATTGTCCCAAAGGCAATTAAAACTATTATTTATTAGCTGATATATCCTACGAATTGCTCTCAATATTTCAGCTTGAAAATACCCAGAATGAGAATCTTAACATTATAAACATTATCCAAACTAATTCCTAATTACTTTCTTTGTAAAGAGTCATCATCCAATTATCCTTGAATCATTAGAATTAAATTCATATCTGCCAAATCTAATCAAGTTGCATTTAAGTTAATGATTTAACATGTTTGGGAAATTCAATTTCTCTCAGTTAAATGAGATGACCAATACCACTCTTCAGTCTGTGCAGCAAATATGGAGCTGGGGCCGGTTCACTGAGCATAAAGACAAGAAATAGGGAACCTGCTAGCCTGGGATATGTCCTTTAAGCTAACAAAATCCCACTGAATTGGGAGGGATGAAACCCTCGTTAATGGTCATCAATGCTGAGCACACAGCACACATAGTGAAATGTGTTCTCTGTATTTAACCCATCCTAGTACTAGGAGCAGCACTGCTAGCACCACCTTAAATGTGTGTTATCCATACCAAACCAAAGTGTACCTGTATCCATCTGGTACAAAAGTTTTTTCAGTGCTTCATACAGCTGAAATCTCCAATCGAGCCCCTTGAGTGAACAATGTTTAAAATCGTTTCAAGACAGTTATTTCTCCATGAAACGGTAGACACTGTCTGCAATTTAATCGAGAGTTCACACACTGTAAAATACATTGTGATTTAAGAGGCCATTTCTGGAAATTATAGAACTCAATCATCAGAAATAGACACAAGTCTGGAGATAAATTGGAGGCCTGGTGTCCCCATGCAGAGAAATACGTGGCTGCCTCAGGTGTCAGAGAGTATCACTGTCTAGCATTTAGCCAGATTTATCCGTGCACCGCAGTAGAACAAGGCAAAATTCAAGCCTCTAAATTTCCAGTCTCAGAATAGTTCAGACGCATTTATCAATAGTCTATATCTGTGCACATTTGGACTGATGGAGGAGTGGCAGGCGAGGGAATGGCTGCACTGTTCTTTACTGCATGAGAGAGCAGCTCAATTTCCCATCAATCTCACTAGTCATGCTCTGAACTTGAATTATTTTGATAAAAGACGAGCGGAGAGTGCAGCATTTCTCAACACTGAGGGTGTAGTAATAAGTCAAGTTGAGGGGTCCAAGACAAGTGACACATTCACATCTCAACCTAAAAAAAAACTATGTTATTCAAGTTGCGTTCAGTGCAGCACAAGGGCGTCTTGGAAGTGCATTAAAACCGATTAATGGAAAAGTGTTGTTACAGTTGAGCAACCACTCTAAATGGACTTGTCTTCACGGATTGAGCAGTTTCTGTGTGTCTGCGTTTGTGAAGCAGAGATGTGCAAGGCGCTATTTGTTTACTAGGTATCGCTAATGTCAGATAACACCACTCATTCCCTGTGGAGAGGGAACGGCCTATGCTCCATGCTAATGAACATTCATAAATGGCCTTTGAAGAGTCCAGTCTCCTCCCAGTCTCTTCCCCCACAACTCTCTGCCCTTGCCTTGCTCCCCGCTGTCCTCCATTTGACACATCTGCAAGAAAACATGCGAGGTCTCGGCCGCCCCTGCACACCGAGAAATAATTGTATTTAACTGGAAGAAAAAATTCACCCAGGGTAAGCATCAGGATTCAATCACTAAAATGTCAAAGTGAAGAATCCCCTAACACCTACATTATCAACTGTTATGGTTGGTTGCATATCATGTTGGAGGCATTAAGTCGACTACAGAACACCAGTTTTCTGTTTGCTAGTACCGTATGTATTACAAGGGAGTGCCACAAATTCAATATAAACATTACTGTTGTGCTCATTTTCATTAATCTTGTGGTGTTGCTGCAGCCGGCACTACATCGTAAAGGGATTATGAGACATGTTACATAATGCAATGCAATACAGAGGTCTAAAGCGTATTGTAAGCTGATTTAGAACATAAAGGTCACTGGTCATGAGGTGTACTACTCCGCCTGTGAAAACAGATGTGTAATATATTCAGAGGCTCTGAAGCAAGATCTTCTGAGAAAATGTCATTAGATATCAGATTTACACATATTAAGAAATAAAAAAGCCTCTGTTGCCGACTGGATGTATTGTTTGGGAAGATACAGATAGAAATGTGTTTTTGAGGGCCGTTGGAGAATCTACTCTTTCTACAATGCCTGTTTGGAGTTTTTAGTACAACAAATCAGGCTACTTTATTATTTATAAAACCATTCTATTTTTATTATTTTCTGTGTAATGACAAGCAGCTACAGTATGCATTCCCAAATGGGATTACAAAACCATAAAAGACATGTACATCCTCCATTAATATATTCTCTTCAAGAAATAATATCTGTAAATCGTCCGACTAGACACTAACCCCCTAATCCCACCAGGAGCGTCTGCGCTGGCGTTTT